CGCCTTTTTTCAAATGAAATCATATCACTAAATTTTGAAATAAAATAAAAGATGCGGGAGAAAGGATTTCTTCTTTGATTTATTACCTAATATTTTAGAAATGAAGTATCATTTATGGCGGTAGTCTTTATTCATCAAATATTGCTTTGATCATAAGTTCCATAAGATGTTCATTTTCCTAATATGATAATTCATTTAAAAACTTTTGTGATTTCTCTTTAGCTTCTAATATGGCCAATTGTTTGCATTCAAATTACAGAAAATAATTTGAAAATCTAAATTCTTTAATTACCAACCTGTGATGGATATGATTTTTTATGGTTGAACTCGGATGATCATAATTCAGTAGATTGTAGTGACGAATTTTCCGTGATCATTGAAGAAAAGAACTGAATCAAAGAAGCATAAAGGATTTTCTAGTTTTTAGTAGTACTTTTAAAAGAGAACAGGAAAAAATGAATAAATTCGGCACTGATTGTAAATAAGGACATATACGACAGCCAAGATAAAGTAATTGCTACATGCTTATTATTTATCAAATTTGCATTAAATTAATAGCTTGACAGAAATTAGTGACAACGATTAATTTATGTGTCGTTGAATAAGGTTAATTGTAATATTTGGCCATTATTACATCAGCAATATTTCAGCACAGATACATTCTTCGAACAATATTAAATATACGTTACATTCCTTAAAAATTATTGCGGGACCTTATGAACTCTCCACAACATAAAAGATCGAGAATTGACGTATCAGATGGAGTGAATGAAGCAAATGAAGAGCTGAAGTAAAGCGTAATAAATTTATGGAAGGAATTGTTTTTCCTCTTTTTTATATTTTGACACCTGCAATTGTTTTTCTGTTCGCGATTTCACATTTTTTACACTTTTTACACCTCTTTATGCAAATTATTTTAAGTTTATATATGAAGTTCCTTTTTTTCTGAAATAGGTGCATTCGTTGGTTGAAAAGATCACCCTCCTTTCACCATTTTAAAACTCCTATCTAAGGCATGTTCAGACTTTTGTAAATATTTGGCAACCTTCCTATTTAGTTTTTCTTTCTACTCGTTACTTTTCCTTAACAAAGAGTGTTTGAAAATATAATAGTCGTATATTAGTAGTGCTTTAATAATTACTTTGTAATATGACACTTAGCAATTTGTAATGAAAGATTTGAGCTTTTCTGATAATTCGAACATTTTGATGAAATAACAGTGAGATTATCGAGGTGGCGTAAGTTATGAAAGTAATGAAGAAGGTACACGTGAAAGAAAGATTAAATAAAACTGAAGGTAATTGAACAAACTTGCTTTCCTTGTGCGTCTAAAAGCCAAAAAATTAATGAATGACTGTCATCCCATTTTTCTATTATCGTGAGAAAATGGGTTGTTAATCATCGCAATTCAAAAAAAACACATAGGATATTAAACTAAAGTTGAAAGTCATGCTAACAAAATTAGTTTACTAGTAAAATGCGAATTATTCATCTGTCATTTTATGAAATTCAAAAGTTGTAATAACATACTAGTGATTTTTCGAACTAGTATTTATTGCTTCGAAATGTTTGTAATTGTGAATTTATATGATTAAAAAGTTTTACGATATCCACATCAACTCGATCATTCATATGTTGACAGTAGGTTAGTGATTTATACGTTCCGTCTAAAATTTTAATCCCACTAAATAGGTCGTTCAGATTCTCAATGATAAATAAATCAGCTGATGATATTTCACTATCTCTCTCATTAACACATCTTACTGAGCTTCTTTGAAATTGCTATGAATATGCTTTTATCGATAAAATGTTCGATTGAGTTGAATTTTGTGGAATAATATAATTTACTCAATGCAACAAACATTTAATGTATAAGAAAATATCTCATTTTGCTGAATTTATCAATCATTCTTCTGACAGACAGCACAGCAACCACTTCCACTATCGGTACATTTTCCGCTAATCCATCCGTTCGTTTGCCAAATATATGCACAGAGCGGTCCACTACCGTGCGGTTCATTGATTTTCCAATTTAAGTAATCCACCGCGGTACCATCGTGCCAATAAAAGGAATCAGCTCGTGTTGCCATGGAATAGAGGCCGATATGTTTGCAATGGCAACTTCTGATTCCAAGGCCTATAGCAATTTTGAATAGATAATTTAGTAAATAAAGAAGAAAATTGTGGAGAAAGAAATAACCGCTAATAAAGGAATCTTCCTGCTGTGAATGTATTGAAGCCAAATGTCCATTCTCTTTCTTACAAAGATTTTCGTATGTGAAAGGTGTCTGCTGACAGTCATATGGAATTACCTTAAATATGATATTTATCAAATAAGCATATGAATTTTTTCATGATTAAGAAACTAAGAGAATTGCTATTTTGTTTCATTCTCAATCCTAGAAAACTACATTATATTAAAGAGTTACTAAATATCTGATCATAAATAGGTTTCTTTTTACCTTATACGATAAATTTGTTTGCGGATTGCGTGTCCAAACATAAAGAATATTCGTTGGACCTTCCATCTCATCTAAAATATCATTTTTCCATCTTTTTGGAACAGATTATATGTTGCTTTAATATATCTAAAAAGAAAAAATCCGCGACAAATTTGTTGTTGTTCACCAGTTAATTTCATAAAGTTATTTAAGTCAAAAATTCTTCCCGCATTATGCCCAGTTTCATGTTTTCTTTCTCCTCTGGTGGGCAATTCCCGAAATCATGCCTTCATCCAATTGATTTCCGTCACATCGAGTACATTCCATTTCATCCTGATTTTCAACGGCAAAGCAACAAGTTGCACCGAATGATGAAAAAACAACTCGGTCAAGCTTGTTGAAAATGATACAAGTATTATCCGGATAGTGAACCAAACCGACACATCTTTGGCAAACGTTTAAGCAATTTTCTAAAGAAGTGACACGCCTAACTTCCCGGATACCCATCAAACTAGAATTATCAGTTATATCCATCACCGTAACTGCCTTTCTATTTGTCGTTGCTTCGTTAAGGTATCGTAACTGAAAATTAGAACAAGTTTTAAAAAAGTTAAGAGAAGACAAACATGTAAATGAATTGATAATCTTATCCTATGAAATTATTTAGCTCTACAAAATTACTTAAGTTTAAAATCTCTTCTCCATGCAATATTATATCCTTTTGCTTTGCTGCGAAATTTCAAAAAATCTTATTTTCAAATTCAAAACGCAACAGTATACAAGACAGTTCAGGACAGTAAATAACCAAATAGCCAGTTGTATAACTTAATAAGCGAATGAATAAGCAAAAGATTAGCATCTTAGTAGCAAAAAATAGCGAGCAAGCAATGGTAATGAATCTAATCGAAATGTAAAATGTAAACTTCCTTGTTAAAAAAGTTTATGAGAGGAGAAAAGGATTCTCTTTCAAGAAGGCTTTAAATATTGAACTGCTGAAACAACTTTTTTTGAAATTTTCTACATAAAAAAGAAAAATGAAATTACTTACATAATAAGCGAATAGTAACAGAAAGCGACTCAATCCTCGAAGCATTCTTCTCTGTTTGACGAAATGAAACATTTTTTCCAAATCTTTTATAAAACATTTTTCTATAATTTTGTCTCTTTTTTTTGTTTTTATTTATTTACATTTGTGTATTATTTGTTTATAAATTTTAGTAAGAGAGATCGACGTGGCAAACTGTTGTAATTGTAACCGATCGTTTTTTCTATACTTTCTGCAAACGCAGCCATAAAGGAGATGAAACATCTCTTCAACATTTTATTTCATTTCGCTAATCAATAAATAGGAAGGGAATCCGCTGGACAAAATGATGAAATATGAACAGCTTCGATTACTCTGAGTTATTCATATTTTACCATTATATTTTTTTTCATATTACATCTCTGAGCTATTCATATACTAAGCTATTCATACGATAAAGTAAATTTATTTATGCATTATAGATTTATTTTAAAAATTCAGAACATTCCATAAGCAATTAAAAAATTAAAAACAATGCCAAATTTTGATATTGAATAATTTGAAGTAGATGCCAAATTTTGTATATTTAAGTGCCGAATTTTGAAACTGTTAGACAAGTACAGTATATTTAAAACCATTAGATAATAAAATTATATAGCAAATAATTTTATAAAGATTGCTGACGTATCTGCAAAGTTGTTTTCTTATTCTTGGAATTCTTCCTGATACAGATGCTTCTGATCTTGTTGCACCGAAAAAATGAAACTGTCAACGAAACCGGTACGATCAAAAAAATCTACGCTTAGTTCGACTAAGATATCAATATTCTTTGAATGATTTCATCGCATTTGTTTGGAAAATAATTACTGCTTTAATGTTAATACATTCCTTTAAAGAACTTTAACTTGCAGAAAAAACACGAAACGGTTTTGAGATTTCAGAAGTCGGATTGCATTGCAAAATGTTGTGATCGGAAAGATAAACGATCGACAGTATCAAATGTTTTCCCTGTTACAGTGCTGTTGTGACCCTACGCAGAAAGTTGTAGCTTTTACAATGCTGATGAACTAAACTTGATGACCTTTTCTTTCAAAATCTTCCTTTCCTTTCAACTCTTCCTGCAATAAATCAATAACCGTATTACATTTATGGTTTCAAAAAACATTTTACTTAACAGCATAACATAGCAATAAAAAAAACAACCAAATGGCAAAGATATATCGGAAAGGTTTTTTTGGAGCTTTGAATGGAAAGGATATTGGGAAGAAGTTTCGCTTTTAATAACAACAAACAAATCCAATGATTTAATTCGTTTCATGCTTTTCAAAATTATCATCATTAGAAATCAGTAAAATACAGAAATGTTGAAAAAGTTTCCATAAAATGAAGGTATCTTTCGATAAAATTTTCAAAATATTAAGATATCAAGAGAGTGATTATGTTAAACCATGCAGGGTTATATGTAACAAATTGCGAAACTCTTTTCCGGTTGGAAGACAAAAAGATTTTAAACAGTATAATAAAAGCTAAAAAAAAGGAAGAACCGGAAGCAAGAACAGATCGTATAGACATTGTTGGAAGATGCAGTCACATAGAATAAATAGATAAACTTTCATGAAATTTATGACAAATATTAAATTTCGAATGCACTACACTGTTTCATAAGGCAACAACGCTCCGACTAATTTATTGCTACAGAAGAAAGTAAAAATGATAAACAAAAAGTGGCCTACCCATATAAAGCCGATGCCTATAAATCATTAGAACAATATGAAAAAGTTTCATCAAATTTCACAAGTTAAAGTATATTAAATAAGACAATATTTTACCATAATACCTAACATAAATAAGCTCAAGTTATGGAATGATTCATCTGTACAATGATTTTAGATCCATCACTGTTACCTGAAATAGTAGATCAGTGGATCCGGAAGTGATTTTAATTAAGCAAGCTAACATTCTAAATTGCTTAACTTTTTCAAAAAATGGGTAAAAAATTAATGAAAAGTATCGTTTTATTCTTTATGAACTTATGAGTAAGCCACTGATAAATTAAAGAAATAGCATTCTTTTCAGACTACATTCTTTGAAGCAAAAGAAAGAACAGTGCATTCAGGATCCTAAGCCTATCCAATATATATAAATTCAAGAAGTAATATTTTATTATAGAAGTTTTCACTTTTTTGAGTTTAGTTAAATGACAATTTAAATAGCCAGGCTACATATTACACTCTGGATGACGTGGATTACTTTAAATAGCCATGAATAAATTTTTATTATTTGAGTTGGGGTAGTTTTCTAAGAAAAGAAGCAATCTGGTTATCAAAATTTGCGAAGAGGATAGGTAAGAAGAGCGAGCATCATTCTTAATAAGGAATACAAGAAGATAAAATTAAAATAACAAAAGAAAAAATCACCAGAAAAGCATGGAACTAATGAGGAAAGAAAAAGAAACACAGGATGAGTATACTTTTAAAAATTAGTAAAGTAGATGATGACAATGATGACGCTGACAGAACGCGAGATCCAAATCACAGAACAGCGATGATTTTAAAAATTCCAAATATAAATTTTTTTACAAATGAAAACTTTCCAAAAATAGTAATGAAGATTATTAGGCTGAACTTTGTAACAGCAACTGATTGCTGATATAGGATATAAGCTTAAAACTAAGTTAAAGCTCATAAAAACAAATCGATAAAATCGATAGTTGCATCGAAATCATGCGTAATCAAAAAACATCAGTGAAAACTATAACTGTCTCAATATTATTTTAATATTTACATCTCAATCACATTAATGTTTTCCGTCATCAGTCGTATCGCATATTACCTTTTATTTGTTTTTACAGTTGGATTTGAATTTTCACTTAAATATTACAAATCTATTGCGAATCAAATCCTAATTCGAAAAAACTTCGCACTAAAATACTCCAACCATTTCGCCTTGAATCCTACACAGAGCAAATAACATAACGATTAGTTGGATTTATTTTTATTCTAGAAGAAACTTTTGAATCGATGTTTCACGAGAATTTTATTCGAATTTAGATCTAAACTGAAACTGAAATCTTATCGAGTATGTGCATCCAAAATAATGAGCTGCATCGGATTTTCAAAAACTCTGTTTCAAAATCAGATTTGCCGAAACTTATACCTTTTTAAAACTTCAATTGTTGTAAAAATATATTCAGTTAAACAAATGATGGAAACATACTGTACATGGAGCACAAAAATTTTAGCATACAAACAAAAAAATTAATCATTGAGTCATTTCATTGAAAATAATTATTGCTAACCGAAGAAAGCTATTACTGTATATTATATTGGAAAATAACGGTAACAACAATCATTATCATATGAAAAAATGCTAGACTACGCTGCAGATAACATAAGAAATGCTCTGGTAAATGTAAGCGAAGATGGGAAAAATTTTAAGTTGAGAAGCAACAATTTGAGAAACTATAGAAATTAAAAAACCGAAATGTGAAACCGTAACTGGAATGAAAGATTTTTGTCTGAGAATACTTTTGGATGAACGCACAAACGAACATTTGGCGAACGAATATTTACCGGTTCATTGAAATTTCTGAGTTCGTAATAGATGACGAGTATCATGCATTTAGATTAAACTGTTCTACCAAGAAACACCTCACGGGCGGCTTGATGTTCCAACGTATCACAGTGAACTCGAAATTCGGTCTGAAATTTGAAATTGATCGTTGAATAAAAAATTACCGAGCAAATTTTGCAGTACGTTACAGAAAGTGAGGACTACTCTTACCATAATCACTTATTTTTTTAAGTTTCAAATATCTTTTTAACAGCGTCATAAATAAAATATAGGAAGAACACCAACCTGTGCACCAAATTTTGTATTACACGCCCGACACTGGTAATGCGTTTGTACCAATTTAAACACTGAATCACAACCTTGACATATCAGTCGTTGATGGTTTTTCAACAGCTGTTCCTGTTGAAATACATTGGTACATTGAGGACATGCCCAGCCAACCTGAATATCAAATGAAATGGTAATTTTAAATCAAACATAATTAGTATGTTTTAAAGCTATGAGAAAATTGGAAATGTAAGAGAATGTCACAGAAAGGCAAAAAAGAAATAAAACAAACAACCTCACTATCAGTACTGCCAGCACATTGAAAATCACGTAATGGAAGTACAGCAACTAATTGCTGAAAAGTTTTGCCATCTTGTGTAAATTTCGATGATTCACGGCCGGAGCTCATATCTGTTGTAATTTGCGCCATAACACTTTCAGGAATTTGGAGCATCGGTATCGGTGTACCCATTAGATTTGGATCATACATTATTGGTGCCAAGCCTTCAAAAGATCATTATGATTTGCTTATACTACGAGGTTGGATGTGTACTCAGAACAGCAGATTTTTGATCACAGTACATTTTTAAGATATGCACAGTTCTGTTTCTAAAGAATTTTCATAACATCATCAGTTAACAGTTTGTTAAAGAAAAATATGCTTCCAAGCATTTTCATAACATTATTAATTGATGGCCTGTCAAAAAAAACTAGTTTTCAAGAATACTAATATTTGTTCTGACCTGATCGAATACTATATAAGAAATTATAAGGAAAATGCGGCATCGTACTGCTAGGATTTGATGTCGATACACCGGCTGGTTTCATTGTTCGCCGATCTCGTATCGCTTTCATTCTAAAAATTCGCAATAATCATTTCTTAGCTTTCATTCTTAACTTTCATTTTTTTTCTTAACTCTCTTTTTTTTTCGTATAGCTTTCATTTCTTTTTGCAATAATCAATATTTAAATATTAACATCAAACATAGAACAAATCTAAAAGAGGAACAACAGATAATTTCATTTAGGGTTGGATATGATAGAAATAGAGAAATTAGAATAAAACCTTGTTCGTTGAATATCTTCTTTATCAATCGTTTCTGGCGGAGCATTCAGATCTATTGCTCCTTCTGTCTGAATATTATCTGTTTGGAAAAGTTTTTTGACACGATTAATGTGACCAGTAGTAAATATGTGATCATGCAAGGTAATACGGTGATCGTAACTAA